AAAAAAATATGTTTGACAAGGATTAAATTTACTCATATGGGATTATATTTTTTAGAAAAAAATAATAAAAATTTAGATTAAAATTATTATTTTTTCCATTTCCGTTAGAGGAAAAAGGCATATGTGAGCTATTTGTTTACAAGTAGGGGTATATATGAGCCACTTTCATAACAAGGGGTATATCAGACCCTTTTCCCTACAAATAAAAAAGAATGTAAAGGCACAAAACCTTATGGAATTACAATCAAGAATTGTTATGATATTTGATTGATCTTTTTCTTTTTAATGTAACTTTTCATCTAATGTTTGATTTTCGTTGTCTTTAATTATCAAGATATTATTATATGAACTATACGACTTGAAATAAGTAACACATGTTCAAGTTTTAAAGATTTATATTATATCATTTCACATTAAATTAAATATTTTGAATTTGATCCCTAGAAATGAAAAATATTAATATGGGTTGGTTTACCTGAAATAAACACAAGACGACACTAATTAATTTGAACTAATCTTAGGGATTTCAAGTATAATAGACTAAACACTTTGTTGCTGATAGACAATATTCTCCTTAAACGAACTTCAACACAAATCTGAATTAATCAATCAGACTAGTAGATTATGAATATTAGATAACTAAATAAGAATAAGACCACAAAGACTTTTTTGAGTAGGATATTACTTACTTCATTTAAAGTTTTTGTTCAATTTAAACGTGTACCTAAAGAAAATGAGAATTTTACATTTCGCAACAACTTAATAAAATCATAATAAATAACTAATACTAGTCATTGTATAGTTAGTGTGCATATAAGCATTAACCATACACATGTAATACACTAAGAAGCCGTTTTAATTGATGCGATAAGGACAGTAATCTCAAAATAAAATGTAAAATTAATCTATTCCGCATTTTACCATGGATATTAATTAATTTCGAAATTATTTTACCTACCAAAACCAAAACTCCAATTTGGTTAGGTGTTTAAAGCCTAGGAATCTCATTTATATGCTAAATTGTTCTTATATCACCTTTTTTTGTATTTTAGTTACCCACCTAAATAATGAAACCCTCTATTTAAGAAGAGTTTTTTTTACACTTTTTTAATCATAAATAAAAAAGAAAAAGAGTACTCACTCTTTTTCTATTGAAGAAAAAGTTCACAAAAAAAAAAAAATTCTTTCAATTTGCAAGAGCTTATTCTCTTTCAATTCTAGTGTTACATTCTTGGAAAAAGGGTAACTCTAATTATTAGATTATTTATTTTTAATTGTTCTTAATTCATTCTCATGTTTTTTGTTTTAGTTCTAAAATGTTGCAATTTTTTGCTCTTTTTTATAATTTTTTTCATTGAAGAATTTGTTATTCATGTGTATCAAGAATAATTATTTTTTGTTCTTCAGATTTTTAGTCATCAAATACATCGATATCGATCTGTAGTAAAAACTCGATATGTATATTTTTTTTTGGAGAAATCGAAGAAAAAAAATTACTCATGCCATTTGAAAAAAAAATCCACTAGCTAATGATTTTTTAGGCGCGGGTAAGTTTTAGACCGCGCATTTTTTTATAGAAAAATATGATAAGATTGTACAGGTAAAATCGGTGCACTTCGCCTATTACATCTCGTCCATCAAAATTTAGATAAATAGAAAAAAATTATTTGACTAATGTTATTTTTTTTATTTAGATCTTATGATTTTCTACCTAGAGGTAAAAAAAAATTTACACAATAAAGTTTTAGTAATAAGTTATAATGTTTCTTTCAAAATTCAGACAAATAGGAAAAATCCACCTAGCAAACATTTGTTTTTGAGATCTTACAAATTTCTATCAGAATGATAATAATTTTCTACACACTTTTTTTCTTTTTTCATGTATTCAAATTCAAATTATGAATATCAAAACTATATGATTGAAATTTAAAATTTTAAGTTGGCAAATTTTGAAGAATAACTCTATTTATCATTTCGTTCACCGTGCTAGAG